TTTGCCATGGTACAATACATAGGTTTTGCTTAGGTGGCAGAGCCTGCTGAGCAGAGGGAGTGAGATACCTGGGTTCCAGTTCCTTGTCTGAGATAGGAGCGTGAGGGAGAGCAGGAGCAGTTGTGGCGAATGGTCAGAATGGTGCAGAGAACTGTAGAGGTACCCGAGGACGACTTTCCCAGGGCGGGAAGGAGCCACGCAGTTATTGGCTCCCCGGACATTATCTTCTGTCTTAGAAAGGTTCCTAGCAGCTTACTTTCTGGGATAAGGTTTCCTTTTTTTTTTTTTTTTTTTTTTTTAACACAGTTTTTTAGGGAAAAGAATTTTGAAAATAGAATTGTATCATATGCCAACATTTTTTCTTTACCATGAAGTCCAAAGACTAAACGGTTTATTATTTTTAGACTTTATACTAAGTAGGGAGGTATCAAAACACTTAAGAAGATGTCCCAGTTATGATTTGGAATTTATTTCATGTCTAAAGTAATTTGGCGACTCTTTTCTTAGCAAATTTTCTTGAGAGAGAGAATGGCTGCATCTTAGACTAAAGTGCACGTTGGAATTATTTCATGCTTTTCACTGGATTAGGAGTGGTGAACTGGTCCTGTTATCCTATACTCCTTGCAGATATTGCCACGTAGTCATAGCAGTTTTTGCAAAGTCTAGACAACCTCCAGCTGTTTACTAGACAGTGGTCCAGATGGCCAGAAACAGTCTTTTAGAGCTGGTTTATCAGACAAGTCTGATTGTTTCCCTGGACTTGATTTTATTGGTTGTATTATTGATTATGTAGTATTTAGTGCCTAATCTTATTAGGTATTCCCTTTCTCTCTTAATTTCCTTAATTGAAGCAAATTAAAACGGCATTTTTTTTTTTTTTTCATTACATGTTTTTTTCTAAGTATTTTTATTTAAATAAAAGTCCCATTCAAACAAATGCCTCATTTTAGGGAGTCCATATCAACCATTTGCTCATGGGTTACACCACATTCTTTTCATGCCTGTGGTTTGGCCTGTGGTATTAGTTTACACCACCAGCACCTAGAACCGGAGAGTTCGTCCAAAACAGAAGCGAAGCCTGAGAAAGCATCTTTCCTATCCGGTCTGAAATCACAGCCCCCTCTCAGCCAGTCTGAAGGTTGCAGGCCTTGTGGCAGGAGCCCATCTGGTTCTGTATCACACAGATTGAACAAGCGGGCATTTCTTCTGACTTTTCTAGAGGCACAAATTTTGTTTTAAATGTGTTTTTCCCCCCCTCCTCGTTAGTAATGTACATGTTTACTGTGACTTCTGTCTTAGGGAGAAGAAAAATTTGCACATCTATTGAGAGATAATGGTGGAATTTTTTTAAATATATATATATTTTTCATATATTTTATTGATTTTCCACAGAGAGGAAGGAAGAGGGATAGAGAGCTAGAAACGTGGATGAGAGAAACATCGACCAGCTGCCTCTTGCACACCCCCTACTGGGGATGTGTCCGCAGCCAATGTACATGCCCTTGCCTGAAATCAAACTGGGACCTTTTAGTCCGCAGACCGACGCTCTATCCACTGAGCCAAACTGGTTTCGGCTAATGGTGGAATTTTAAGTCAATAATATCTAAATTTGAATACATTTGAAATGTCTGCATTTCATTCTCTGATTTGATTCTTGTAAGAGCAAATGGAGGAGTCTGCTTTCTATATTTGTAACATAGATAGAGACTTAGGTGTAGTGATTTTATGATGGCCTTGCAGAAAGTTAATGGCAGAGTGAGAATTAGAACACCACTTATTTAATTAACTGACTAATGAATTTTCAACTACACAATACAGTATTGTTAATTGTAATACCATGATGTACATTAGATCCTCAGAACTTATAACTGGAAGTTTGTGCCCTGTGGCCAACATCTCCCTACCCCCCAATCCCTGAAATTCTCTCTGTTTCTCTGAGTTTGGCCTTTTTAGATTCCACATATAAATGAGATCATACAGTGTTTGTCTTTTTCTGTCTGACTTATCTCATTTTGCATAATGCCCTCACGTTCTGGTCCTATTATTGCAAATGGCAGGATTTCCTTTTTTTCTCATCCTATATAATAAAGAGGTAATATGAAAATTGACCATCACTTCAATACACAAGATGGTCATCAAGGAAAGGCAGCTGGGAGGGACCAGAACTGCAAGGGAGGGGCAGTTGGGTGCGACCAGGCCGGCAGGGGAGGGCAGTCAGGGGCGACCAGGCCAGCAGGGGAGGGCAGTTGGGGGCTTCCAGGCCTGCAGGGGAGGACAGTTAGGGGCAATCAGAGTGGCAGGGGAGCAGTTAGGCATCCATCAGGCTGGCAGGGGAGTGGTTAGGGGATGATCAGGCTGGCAGGCAGAAGTGGTTAGGGGCAATAAGGAAGGCAGGCAGGTGAGCATTTGGGAGTTAGCAGTCCTGGATTGTGAGAGGGATGTCTGACTGCCTGTTTAGGCCTGATCCCACCGGGCAGTCGGACATTCCTCGAGAGGTCCCAGATTGGAGAGCATGCAGGCTGGGCTGAGGGACACTCCCCCACTCCCCTGCCCATGCACGAATTTTGTGCACTGGGCCTCTAGTGGTTACATAATATTTCATTTTTTATATTTTATATAAAATATTTTTCCATATTTTATCTCTTTGAGGTCCTGATTTTATTTTTTTTATTTTTTTATTTTTTTTAATATATATTTTATTGATTTTGTATAGAGAGGAAGGGAGAGAGATAAAGAGTTAGAAACATCTATGGGAGAGAGTCATCGGTCAGCTGCCTCTTGCACACCCCCCACTGGGGATATGCCCGCAACCAATGTACATGCCCTTGACTGGAATCGAACCTGGGACTTTTCAGTCCCCAAGCTGACACTCTATCCATTGAGCCAAACCGGTTTCGGCTGAGGTCCTGATTTTAATTCCTTACATAAATACCCAGAAGTGGAATTGCTGGGTCATATGGTGGTTCTAGTTTTAATTTTTTTAGGAACCCCCATACTGTTTTCCATCAAGGCTATAGCAATTTACATTTTTACCAACAGTGTACAAGGGTTCCCTTTTCTCCAACCTTGTCTTTTTGATAATGGCCATTCTAACAGGTGTGAGGTGATATCTCTGTATTTTTTATTTGCATTTCCCTGATGATTAGTGATGTTTAGCACCTTTTCATCTGTCCTCCTTGGAAAAAATGTCTATTTAGTTCCTCTGTCCATTTTTTAATTGGGTTATTTTATTTATTTATTTATTATTATTTTTATTTTTTTGCTGTCGAATTGTATGAGTTTCTTACAGATTTTGGTTATTAACCTCTTAACAGATACGTGACTTGCAAGTATTTTCCCCACTCAGTAGGTTGCCTTCTCATTCTGTTGATGGTTTCTTTTACTGTGCAGCAGCTGTTTAGTTTGATGTATTTTTTCTTATTTTTTGCTTTTGTTTGTGCTTTTGTGTCATATCCAAAAAAATGTTATCAAGACCAGGGTCATGGACCTTTTTTTTCTTCTTATATTGTATTTTCTTTGAGGAGTTTTATGATTTTGAGATGAAATTTCTTTATCATGAGTGATTACATGACTATATACACTGAGTGGCCAGATTATTATGACCTCTGAACACATAATAATCTGGTCACTCAGTGAGTGTGTGTGTGTGTGTGTGTGTGTGTGTGTGTGTGTATGCGTATTAGAGTCCCAATTCATACATAGATGAGGTCTGGCCAGCCTGGCCAGGGTGAGGGGACATGGGCAGTTGGCCAGCCTACACTCCTGGTCGAGGGCACACTTTGCATATTTGTCTTTTATTATATAGGGTATATACTGAGTGGCCAGGTTATTATGCATTCAGAAATTATAATAACCTGGCCACTGAGTGTATATTTGTCAAGATTCATTGAATTATACACTTATAACTGGTTCATTTTTTTTTCTGGTATGCTATACCTCAACAAAGTAAGAACTATAAACAAACTGAGTGTCTACTGTCTGTCAAGTGCTGTGTTAGGAATATGGTTAGATAGATGTGATGTGGGTCCTCTCTCCAGGCGGCTCACAGCCTGTAGAGTTGGTGTAGATACACACAGGCCAGAGGGAAGAGCCCTGTGGCGCAGTCCGTCTGCTGAGGCTCAGGGGAAGGTGTTCTTGGGTAGGGAAAGTGCCGCAGAGGAGGTGCTTGACCTTCAGTGCGGTGGGTGGGCAGAAGCTGGGTGTTGAGGGAAAGGGCACTCCAGGCAAAAAAGAGCACTTCACATGTGAGTGTGAAACTGCATGGTGACATTTCATAAACCACAAGGAGCCCAAACTGCTGGCGCCCTGGAGCTGTGAGATTATTTATGTCAAAGTGGCAAGAGTAGAAGCAGGGCAGGTTGGCAGGGGCAAAAGATAAAATGTGTCTCACATTTGCTTATCCAATTCCTACTGCAAGAGAAATTACGTACGTAAGAGAGAAACCCTCCCTCTGGATGAGAGATGAGATGATCAATGCGCCCATTCATATCTCTTCGTTTTGTTGCTTTTTGCTTAAAAACAGAACAGCAAAAGCCTTGCTTTTTCTATAACTATTTTAAAATAGTAATTCTCTGTGAACAGACCTCAGCTGAATTTGTGCAGCTAAGGCTGTACTTGAGCTTCACATGTAGCAAGGAGGGAGCATGATTTAATGCTTGAGAAAGCCTTTCATACCAGCCATCTGGGAGAACTACTGAGATTTGCCCCGTGCGGCTTGTGCCTTCAAGCTAATGCCAGTTTCTTTGTACCCATAGGGAGAAGTACAAAATCTCCCTCGCATTGCATTTTGAAAAGGAGAAAACCTTTTGAACCTGCTTATTGGTTCAACTCCTTATATATGAAATTCTTGAACATCATCTGTCCTTGGAGGGATGCAGGGAAAAGTGTGTGTGTGTGTGTGTGTGTGTGTGTGTGTTTGTTGGGAGCAAGTACAGGATTTTGATTAACAAGTGGGACAGCTAATTTTGTTCCAAAACTGAATGCTTTGTCATATATTGCAGGCAATGGATTTTGAAGGCTGGGCGGACACCCTCTTTCTTCTGCAGTTCACCCTCTCTTGTGTGATGGGGTAAGCCTTTGCTGTCTTGTAATCAAGTAGTTTTCCTAGAGAAATGTGTTTTAGGGTCCTTTTGCCTCATCTTCAGTATCCTGTTCTGTCCCTTGAGTGTATCCAGTTCTGTCCCTCTGATAATGAAACTTCCGCATTCAGGTGGTTTCACAGCCCTTGGGAATGTGCCCTCAGGGCAGCTAAACAGATTCCCAAAGTCATGCTTATAAGGCTGGAGGACAACTAATGTTTACGCAATGACGTAGTGGGTAATAAGCACCATTATTTCTCAAATTATTTTTGACCATAGGGTTATTTTTTTTTCTAAATTGACCATTTGGGAGATGTTGTTGTCCCTATAATCATGAGAAAGCAGGCTCAGAACTCAGGTAGGTTGCCTGAGTTTGCACAGTTAGTGATTGTTGTAAAGCAAGCATGTCAAACTCGAAGGCCAACACGGGCTGAATACACAAGGTTTAAGTTTATGTGGGCCGCAAAAAAAAAAAAGCTTCAATTTTCATAGAAACGTAGGTTTATTTCGAGAGACACATGCTGAATAAAAAGGGCTGAAATAAATGATAGAATATTTTAATAAAAATTAGTAATTTTTCTTGAACATCAGCTTATCAGACACTGAATAACTGCACAAATTAATAAACATAATACAAATAAACCTATTTTTCTTGTTCTCTGAAAGCGAAATATTTCGTGCTACACAAACCAAACAAGTCAATCTAAGACTAATGACATGGCAGTCGGCTGCTAAATATTTGCTGCTAGTATTAGTGGAGAGAAATGGTGCGCCTGCACATAAGGGTGTGTACGTTTATAGTAACCAGTCAATAGTGAACATTGTTAATAATTATGTATAACAGGATATTGTAAAAATTAAGTTAAGAAATTTTTATTGAAATGTTTCTTACATACCTTTATATTGGCTGGGCCACAAAAATATTCATTATGAGTCTGGAATTTGATATACTAGTTATAGAGAAAACACCTAGATCTTACTCATAAGATACCTCTCCTCCTTCATCCCAGGTTTATTTTGATGTACGCCACAGTACTCTGCACTCAGTATAACTCGGCTCTTACAACTACAATAGTTGGCTGTATTAAGGTGAGTTGAAAAAAATACTGTTATTTTTGGGGACCTGCTTTACTTGAGAATTATTCCTCTCAAATAAGTCTGGCTAAGGCCTTAAGCCATATTTTTTCCTTATTTCTTCCTTTTTTTTTTTTTTTTTTTTTTTTTTTTTTTTTTTTTTAATAGTCTGGCAAATTGTGGTGATGGTTTCGGAAATAGTCTTTAAGAACTCAGGGAGAACAGTGTCTCTACTTTCTGGCAGTTTAGCTCTGCGGAGGAGGAGCGTGAGAAAAGGAGAGCCTGTTATCTTAGAGAAGAGGAAGAAGAATTCGGCCTGTTTCTGACTGGGCAGCTGACGAGCTCAGTAGGGAGAGGCCTGTCTCTAACCCCCGATGAGAGCTGCTTCTTCTCTGCCTGCTGAGTGCTGGCTGTTTTTAGGGGAAGGGTGCCTGCCAGAACTAATCGAGGGAGGTTTCCTGTGTGTCAGCCAAACCTAATGGCCCACTTTTAAAAGCTGCGTCTGACTTTTCCAGTGATGTCATTTCCTCCTGACCGTTTTATTTGAGTCAGGCTCATTTATCTTCACCAGGAGAGCCAAGTTGACTTAAATATTGAGCTGACATTTGGGGAGGGTGGGGGTAGTGGGGAAGAGATCAACCAAAGGACTTGTGTGCATGCACATGGGCCTGGCCAGTGGCCATGGACAATGGGGGTGGGAGGTGGGGGGGAGGGGAGGACATATGTAGGGAGGGGTTTGGGATGGGATTGGGGGGATGAGGACAATTATGTGATACCATAATCAATAAAAAAAAAAAATGGGGAAAAAAAATACTGAGCTGACATTAGTGGCTTTGAAGCCTGAGGCCTCTTTCACCCGACTTTGTCATCGTAGTGGTTTAAGATCCAAGTGGCCCCAGCGAGCCTGAGTTTTAAGTGGATTAGCCAGGTAGGCTTGCTTTCTGAGAAAGGTAAAACAGAGAGAGGTAGATCCCAGATCACTGGGGAAAGAGTGGAGGTGCCCTTGGGACTTCCTTGATGATGCCCCTTTTGTCAGAAAGTGAGGCCAGTGGTTGCAGAGCCAAGTTTTTACTGCTCTGTGTTACCCTTTGCACCCCCAATGGAGTGGTGTCCACATGACCTTATTTCAGAAATTAGATTTGGGTCAAAACTTCATGGAATTGGAGTGTTTGGTGTGAATAGAATTGTAGATGGAACTATAACAATCAATTGTTTGAATTCCATTGAAATCTAGACAGTTAATCTACTTTCAAAGGTCTGGCTGGCTGACATGGCTTTAGTGCCCCACCCTCCCCCCTTTCTCCGTCCCTCCTCTTCCCTGGCCCCCCCACCCAAATGAGCTTGCAGCTCTGTTTCCATTTTGTAAAGTAAATGCTTTAAGAGCAAAGTTGGATGGCTTGCATCTTCAGAATAAGAACAGCAAGAGCAGGGCAGCTGGTACCATGTTTTTAGCCAAGAAGAAGGATGGTATAGGAGAGCCTATATTTAATTTTAATAACTAAACCTATTTGCTTAGAATTTCTTAGTGCACTTTCTTTGTCATTATCAGCAAGGGGCACAAATATAGCTATGCTCTCATGAACATGAAGTCCAGTTTTTTACTTTTGCCTATTTCCTTCTCTGTGTAGAACCTTATGAACTTAGTCCAAAGGGATCAGTTTTGCTTCCAAACTTCAGAGGGAGGGAGAGAATTGGATTGTCTGTTTAGTGTGCAATTGCTGTTGCTTCTTTCTGCCATGTGGTATCGCTGTTGAAGGATGTCTGGAACCTTCTGGCGGATGAGAGTCCACGGAAGCCCTTGCTATTTCACTCTCCTGAGTGACAGTGGAGCTTCCTTCCTTAGCCTCTCAGTGGATACCCTTTAGCTCAGTCATTGTTCCCCAAGGGGCTTTAAGCTGTCTTCTGTGCTTGAGGATCCCAACCCCATGAACGCTTGGGTCAGCATTTCTTGTTTCTTTTAAGTGTGGTGGGGAAATCACTCGGGATAGCTAGTTAAACATGGAAATTCCTAGGCCCACCTCGGATATACGGAGTTAGAATCTCTAAAGTCGAGCCTGGAAATGATCATCTTTAACAGTTTCCAGATGATTCTCAGGTACTACTAAAACTTGAGAGTTAGTCTTGAACTACTGGACTCTTCTGTGCTTCCTGGTTAGTTCTGCTTTGTGAGCTGGGATCTTTTCCTGATAGCAAACCTGTGTTAGGCTGCCCTAACGTGTACTTATAGTTTTTCTGCCTCCTGCTGATTGGTTTTGCTCAGTGAGGCCTGGGTTCTCTGTCTTTTCCCTTTCTCAAGTTCCTTGAGCAGTTACACAGGGTAGCCCACCTTCTCTCTGGATCTCTGGATCTTGTGTTTGAAGAGAGGTCCTGTTACACATTTTCCCCAGCTGCCTACTGTTCCATGGCATTTCACACCCCCTGAAATTATTAGAAAGACCTGCCTTATGGTAACGTACTTTCTCTATCCTTAGACTTAGAAGAGGCAGACATAATTTCGAATGCTCCAAGGGCACTCCATTATGAAAGTAATTTGGAAGTTCATTTTAAAGTAGAGCACTTTCTGCTTCAGAGGCCTAATCTAGGAGAACCCAGGTACTAACAATGTTTGTGACTTTTACAGTTTATGGCAGTTGTAAAGGCAGGGAGGGAGGTAAGTGACTTAGGAATGTGAAAGAATGGAGGTTGTTAGGGAAGAACTGAATCCATTTGGAAAATTTTATTTCACCTTTGTGGTTCGAGTTTAATTAAAGGGGGAGCACAGATAAGCAGAAGATGTTTATGCCTGGGAGTTTAAGGGAGTCAGGCGATGTGATTTTAGATATGCTATTTTGAAATAACTTCCCATGTGTGTTTTGAAAATACTAAGACTCCTCTAAATACGTTCTTCATGTTGGTAAACTCCCACCATCCCCTTTATCCTTCTCAAAAAAGAGGGAAAGATTCTTGACCTTAGCAGGCCTTTCTTCTTCACTGTCCCATCACAAGTCAACAGTTACCTCAACGAGAGGAAAAGCATTCTTTTCTGATTGCTAAGTACGCCTCAGTGTTTTCCGCCCTTAGAAGCAGCAGAGTTTCTCTGTTTAGATTTATAATGTCAGCCCATTCCACAGAGCAGAGAAAGTTTGATTACCTTGTTAGTATTTTTTAGTATTGGTGAAAGCATTTAGCGCTCTGTAGAGGAAAAATTGGGGAGAGGCTAATGTCATTGTTCCTTGTTAGTATACTTGTTCATACTGCACTCATTTTAGGTTTGGTGGAATTTTGTTATTGTCTGTTTATTTATTTTTTGCATTTTAAGAATAGGTATTTGGGTCATAACAGGGAGGCGTTTCAGTCCCGGAGTGGCCGGGCCTGGAGCAACCGGGCCGGGTGCGGCCACGCCCGGAGCAGCCAGGTCGGAAGCAGCAGTGGCCAGACCTGGAGCAGGTGGTTGTGGAATGGACCAGAGCAACAGAGGCCAGGCCCGGAGCAACCAGGCCCGGAACAGCTTGCTCCTCGCCTGCCTCCGCCCCAAGACTGCCTCTCAGACATGGCTGGAAACTTTTGGGGGAACTTGAGGGTCTGCTGAATAAATGAGGAAGGCGTAGATCTGGATGTGTTGAGTTAGTATAGCGCTGGGGTGTTGATCTGTAATTGGTTTGTGTGGGGTCTGGATGAGGTTGGTTGATCTATTTGGAAATGTCTTTTGTGTGAAGTGTATCCTTGGGCATGTGGAGGTATTATTGATTTGAGAAAATGCTAAGTAACTGATTTACTATCTGAAAAATTTAAAGTTCTGAAAGTTTAAGGTCTCTTGCCAAAAAGAGGTTTTAAAGCTAACACCTTAATTTTAATGGAGAAAGGGAATGACAAGCCCTTCCGACCCAGAACAGGTAATCCAATTCCAACCAGCAGCTTTGTTTAAACAATGTGTCCATTTACACTTGAATGGCTACACCTTTTGATAGCCTAAGGGCAAGTTTACATGTAAACAAGTTTGCTCTCAATTCCCAGGGCAGAAAAAAAACAAGGTTTAAAATTAGTAGATTTTAAAATTTATTCTTAGAAGTGTAAAAGTTTATTAATTAAAACAACAACAACAACAACAACAAAAGGAGATTGAAAAACCTGATGAACAATAATAGCGGTTCATTGTAGTAGAGTCGGCCATATGGGAGGGGAGTGGACTGACCTGGGGGGAAAGGGAGGGAGGAAGAGACTGAACATAAACTGTGCACCTATGGATGAGGACAATGGGGGGTGGGGAGGGGGCGGAGGGTGGGGTGGGAACCTGGTGGAGGGGGGGAAGAAATGAGGAACCTTTGTAATAATATGAACAATAAAGATTGATTTAAAAACAACAACAACAACAACAACAAAAAAAAACCAGGGAGGCGTTTATGTGAATATTTAAAAAGTTCAGTTAAACTTATGTAACAGTGTATTGCTTTTTTTTTTTTAGAATATATTAATAACTTATATTGGAATGGTCTTTGGTGGAGATTATATTTTCACATGGACAAACTTCATTGGCTTAAATATCAGGTAAGTAAAAATATTTAAATATAACCACTTTGACAAATAGTGTCACAACAAGGTTGGGCTCTTTAATGTCAAATTTGTTATTTATTAAACAAACCTATATGGAGTGCTTCCAATGTATTATATATTTAACATCTTTAGAGAGTGCTTTTTAAGAGAGAGAAAGTGGTTCCATATTTTATGTGTAATAGTTGGGGAATCTTTTCTGGAAGTGGAATTCCTTTTTACTTAGCTCTTCGAAGAGCAGACCTTTACTTAGTATACCAGATGGCAGTACACTGTTCTTAAGAAAATGCAGGACTAAAGAATACCAGCTCCGTTAGAAATGCATTATATGTGTTTGACTTTGGCCATATCACTGCATTTCTTTAGACGTTATCTTCATCAATGATGAGTGTGTCTTGTATGAAAGATCTTTTTCAGCTCAAGAATTTTGAATCTCATGGTTTTTAATCTATTTATGTGCTTAAAAATTATTACATTTGTAGTTGGGCCAGACCTCTGTCCTGAACTCATGCTATATATTTAACAGCCCCCTTGACATCTCCAGCTGACATGTCCATTACTGACCTTTTAGTTTTCCCAAAGTCTCTTCCACCGAAAGCCTCTGCATCTCAGCTGATGGAGACTCCATCCTTCTAGGCTTCCAGTTTTAAAATCTTGGAGTCGTGTTTGACTCTTCCATCTTATACCCAATATCTAGTGTGTTAGCAAATTCTGTTGGCTCTACCTTCAGAATATCTTCAGAAAAGGACTACTTCTCACTATCTGCATTGTTCATCATCTAAGACACCAATATCTCTTGTCTAAATTACTGTCTAATTTCTATATTTGTCCCTGGTTGGACTCCTTTCTTGTCCACCCCATCCCTCAATCCCTTGTCCACTCCAAACCCTGCAATTCTTAACAGAATAGATAGTGTATTCCTTGTATAATAATAAGTAAGACAGAACATGTCACTTTTTTTTCCCCCCCACCTCAGGCTCTCCATGTCCCAAAGTGCTCACAAGGCCCTAGAAGATCTACCTCCTTTACCTCGCCAGTGTCAGCTCCTGCTTTCCTTTTCTCCCTCACTCTATTTCACCCACAGTGGGGTCCTCCCTATTCCTTTAGAACAGTGTCCGCTGACCTTTCAGACATCATGGACCACCAGTTGTCCATGGGCCACCGTTTGGCGACCGCTGCTTTAGAACACTGGATATTCCCCCACTTTAGGGTCTTAGTACAGGCTATATCCTCTGCCTGGAACGTTGTACTGCCAGATACTTGCATGGCTAACTTCTTTACATCTAAAAAGTTTTTCTCAGAAGTTGTCTTCTCAAGGAAGTCTACCCTGACCACCTTATTTAAAATTATAACCTATGGGGCTATCGGAGGAGGGAAAAGAGGCTGTAGGGGGAATAAATGGTGAAGGAGATGGAAGGAGACTTGAACACACAATACAATATACAGATGATGTGTTACAGAATTGTAAGCCTGAAACCTATATAATTTTATTAAAACAGTGCCATCCCAATACATTCAATAAAAAAGTAAAATTAATTAATTAATTTTTAACCCTTTGCACTCCGCTGTCCCCTCTCAGGGGACATCGGAATTCTAGCATATCACTCTGCTGTCCCCTCTCAGGGGACATCGGAATTCTAGCATATCACTCGGACGTCCCCTCTCAGGGGGGGACATTGCAGTTTATTAGTGATCACGGGGAATTGGGTTAATTCAACGCACGTGTCCGCCGCAAAGTAGCTTCGAGTAGCCAATGTCCAGAATGGTTCGAGTGCAAAGGGTTAAAATTGCAGTCTGCTCTTCCTCTTTTGATTCTTCCAAATCGTCTTATTCTGCTTTTTTGATTACTTTTTTCCAGAGCACTTGTTTTCTTTCTAATATACTATATAATTGGCTTAGTTATATTTATTGCCTATTTTCTGTCTTCCCGGCTAGAATATAACTTCCATGAGGGTAGGCTCTCTGCCTATATTTTTCACTCACGTTTCTCAAGCTCCTAGAATGAATCCTGGTTGTTGCTTAATAAGTATTTGCTCTTTGAATTCTATTTGGATTAGTGAAAAAGCACTTTGAGAATTATGAAGTTCTCGCCTAAAATATGCAGCTAATTACATAACCTCTCTGAGCTTTAATCTCTTTAAATGTAAACAAATGATAATACCCTGTTTCCCTGAAAATAAGACAGTGTCTTATATTAATTTTTGCTCCCAAAGATGCGCTAGGTCTTATTTTCAGGGGATGTCTTATTTTTCCATGAAAAAGAATACAGTACACATTTATTGTTAAATGAAAATAAAGGAAATTTATTACCTCTATACAGTACGGTAGTACGGTAGTTGTCAACACAAACCAGACAAACTGAATCCTACAGTATCAAGAATTTACTCATTTATTCAATGACGATCATGTCATCATCTTCTGGAACATCATTGTAACAATCCAATTCCTTAATTTCCTGGTGAATTTCTTGTGACTCCATTTCTTTCAGAAACAGTGGACCAAATCTCTCATGTACCAAGGTGGGGGGAGGGGGATCACTTAAAATGACACATGGGGGATCAAATGGGGAAATCAAAATGCACAGGAGAATCAGAGTGGGGATTATCATTTTAGTAACCCCTTTTGATCCTCCTGTGTCATTTTGATTGCCCCCTCTGATCCTCCTGTGTCATTTTAAATGATCCCCCTCCCCCCACCCCTATGCCACTGAACACCTTCACCAGACATCCCTCCTACCCCTTTATCAGACATTTACCCCCTGGGGCCTGCCTGGGGACTATCACTGGGCTTGCTGGGGCCTGGATCTGGGCTGGAGCAGGGTCTGCCACTGACTGAGAACCTTCAGTCATCATGAGGGCGGCCACGAGCATCAGGTAGTGTCACCAGAGACAGACCAGCACTCACCACCTTCGCCGTGTCCTGTCCGCTCTAATCCTCCTGTTCTTCTACACGCATCTGCAAAAGTCTCCTCCTCTCTCCCGCCCGCGCTCACCGCTCACTCTGACCTCTGCTCAGTCTTCACACAGCAGTGATGTCAGGACTCCACGTAACGTCACTGGTTGCTAGAGGCCAGTCGGGGCGGCCCTAGCGACCAGTTTACGGTAAATTAATTTTCATTCTGAGACAGAGCCTAGAAGGGCCTTATTTTCAGGGGGATGCCTTATATTTCACTCAGAAGGAAACCTGTAAGTAGGTCTTATTTTCGGAGGATGTTTTATTTTGGGGGAAACTCGGTAGCTATTCTACCTCTCTTATGGATCAACTAGAGGCCCAGTGCACGAAATTCATGCACTTGGGGCTGGGGGGAAGATCCCTTCCCCACCCTGTGAGAGAGGCTCCTGCCACCTCCACTGTGCTCACCAGACATGAGCCCGGCTCAGGGCTTCTGGCTGAGCGGAGCCCCCTCTGTGGGAGCACATGACCATCAGGGGGCAGCTCCTGCATTGAGCATCTGCCCCCTGGTGATCATTGCGCGTCATTTCGACCCTTTGTTCTGCTGTTTGGTCAATTTGCATATTAGCCTTTTAGTATATAGGATATGAGAATCTAACACAAATATTAATAGGTTAATAATTCATCATTGCCCCTCCCTGACATTTTTTGCCACTGTGGTTGTTGGCCTTTTAGAGGAAAAATCACTTGTGATTTGTGGGATTCAGAGTTGGGAGGACTGTGGGTATATATGTCGATCTGAGAATTGCATATTATAGAAAGAAGATGAGTAGTCGGGTCTCAGATCTGGTTGGAATTGTTGTTCTGAAGTTTACCGTGTGTGTGACTAAGTTGCTTATCTTTTCTGAGCTTCAGTTTTTTTTCAATGTGCTAAAGATGAAATACCTACCTTTTTAGAGTTGTTTGAATGAGTGTAAGTACCTAACTCACTGCTTGACATCCATGCTTAGTAAATATCTCTCTCATTAAAATTTGTGAGGAAGGGGCTGGGTATAAGGAGCAAAATGGTGAACCAGTTCTGACCTTGGATATGGCCTGATTTTCACTCATTTCTAAAAGTCTGGATTAAAAGTCATTATGACACTGAGTCAGAGATGTCTTAATTTTCTTTTAGCCTCCTTAAAATAAATAACCTGAGAGCCAAAATGAAGTAGAAGTTCTATATTTGCATTTTTTAGATCTCTACAGTTCAAATCTCATAAAATAATCTTTTCAGAAAGATTAGGTATCTTTTTTTACATTGAAAGCCACTTAAAATAACTTTTTTTTAAAGTTCTTGAGTATATTGGAATGTTACAACTTATGTCAGCCTAACATGTATTAAATCTAACATCTGGAAAATCTTCCAGTAGAATTTCTGTTTCAAGATGTTAGATTTGATGCATGTTCTGCTGACAGAAGTAGAGCTCTGTTGCGTGTCTGGCTCTCTCCAAATCCCCTAAGTGCCTTTGTCCAGTGGCCAGTTATGAGGGTGCTGGGCCAGGCCTGGGACAGTCACAGAGAGGGTGGGAAGGACCAGTGAAGGGTGGTGACAGTGCGTGCTTCTGTACTTCTCCCGGTGGCTGCACTCCCTCTGCGGCTTCAACTTGAGTCATGTAGCCTTTCTTTGTAACGAATGACACCATCATCCTCAGAACTGCCCAAGCTAGAATTCTTAGAATCTCTGGAACTCTTCTTTAGTTGTTGACCCTTTTTTTGTTTCCATGAAAAAAATGAATATACATTTAATTACAGTAAAATTAAATGCTTTTAATGTACAGCTTATGAGTTTTGACAACTGCACCACATTCAAGATATGAAACATTTGTTTCAACACCCCCCCCCCCATAAACACACACTCCTAAAAAAAAGTCCCTATGTCCCTTTGCATTGAACCTCTGCCCCTAATCTGTTTTCTATCCAGGAAGTGTCCAGAATGTCATTAATGATACATAATATTATGTAGCTTTTGGTCTGACTTCTTTCATTTAACACAGTCCATGTTGCATTTGAGATTTTGGGTTGTTGCATATATTAGTAGTTTGTACCTTTTTATTGCTGAGTAG